GGAGAGTCTGCGACGACCTCTAACAGAAGGGCCTAAATGACGTTTACTTTCTGCAAATTGTCCAAATTTCTGAGCTGCAAAAAAGCTAGAAATGATCGAAGCGACAACAGCCTTGAAACCTCCAAAAAGTGTTTTACGCAGCTGCCCACCTTACTTATTTAAAGCTGTAAATGAGGTTAACATGTGACACACCTCTCACTTCTCTTTGGGCTGGATAAAGCCTACAGAATTATGGTTGAGCAGCCATTAAATGCAAGCAGGGCTAGGGAGACATAGCTGGGGAAATATGTTAAATCTCGCCCTTCGTTGTATGCCCTGCCTTTGGGCTAGTGTTCTTACAACTTATTACATTCAAGGCGAAAGAGATCCACACACCAAATTCGTAAATTTATCAAAATATGCAGACAGATAGAAAATCAAATGTTAAGAGAGAAATTGCAGAAAAGGCGACTTCTATTTTCTCCCTCATTTGCAATAGAAATCCCATCCATGTTTAATTTCTCCCTCCCAACTCTGTTTCAATTACTTGTCCTTCCCGCTTACTTATCTAATAAGCACTTAAATAATAAAAACAGAAGGTTTAAGAGCTTAAAATAATGCAAATTTGAATATAATACATTCCCATTTACAATACTTTTACTAAATCCTTGTACTTGCATGGAAGTTAAATAAGTCACTAAATAAATATTACCGCAGTAATCAAGATAGAAAGTGAGTGGATGTGACGAGTTTGATTGCCTGTATTAATGTGTACATGGTACAGACAATGTCTAATTGCGTCGTTACACTCGAGACGTCTTATTCTTGTGACGTGAGGCGTCTTATTTAAAGTTAAATGCATCCTAAAGTTCAATTTTTTGAGGACTAGTTCGTTTGGCGACCTTTGAGGTCAGAATAGCTCCGTTCTATATTCTTTTTCCAGCATCTGTAGTTGTGGAAGTAGTTATGCCCTAAGAAACATGCCCGACTTCTCCGAGTAGTAAAACCCATCAACTATAAAAACCTACGTGGTTTCAAACTTTTTACGCTTCGCGTACGCTGATCCTGCTTCAAAGCCCCTCTTTGTCCATCAAGGTTAAAATGTACCGACTGAAATTCTAGGGTCATTGACCTCTTGGGTATTCTGTCAAAAACACTTCCTGGGTCCAAATCCCATTCGGATTGGCAGACAACTGCAAGCATCAAGAAATGTCAATTTTATAGCAAGGGTTATATGACGTTGAGAAATTAGGCGAGCTAGCTTCGAGCTCATGGATTTATGGCATAAATGACGTGACATAAAAACCTTGCAAACATCGATGAAACATTGTCCAAACTAAAGTAAAATCTTGGAATTTTTTCGCATTTTGACAAGTGGAATGACCTTATGTAACAAGTGCAGTAAATAACTTTTATCTTTGACGTTTGTCAAATGATGGCGAAGAAATGGTGCTATAATTCTGCCATGATTTGGTAGTTCAAATCGGAGACTTCAGCAGTCTTGCGAAAATGTTGACGAAGGCTGCGAATTTAAAAGGTGGAATGGGTAATTTATGTCGCCTTGTTCACAGATTTCATGGACCTTTATCACACTGCCACAAAGTACTTTGTAGTAAAGTACAGGAGGAGTAAAAGCTTAGGCTAAAGTAAAATTTGCGGACATAGATGAGTACCTACAGTTAATGACGCACCCGAAATTGAGGATCGGCAATGCAGAGGTAGGAGAGGTATAAAATAGACGCTGCGATAGGCTAACCCACGTTTAGTTATTCAATTTTAGCGTAATATGGTGGCATAATTAATAGGAGGCTGCCGTCTACTTGGGAAAGGCTTGCCGCTGTCCGCGATCTAGTAACAATAGTAGCTTCTACCGTTTCCTTAAACCCCGAGTCTCAGTGGAAAATATCTCATTACAATCGCATTTTATCTCATGAACCACCCATTCCTCTACCCCTTGCCTCCACTCCATCTCTGGCTAACCGCACCCTTGACGATTCCCAGATCCTTCTCTGCATTCGATCAACTCCCGAAGTAGAGTGGAGCCATTATGGCAAAAATGTAGATGAATAAGGTCAAAAGAGGTGCAGACCAGAAAATATGTTGATAAGCAAGCGGCACGTATGTCCTAAACCAATTAGTCAGTCAATCAGCCAGCAGTGTCCTCCACCGTAGAAGTCAGTCATAAAGAGAGCAACCAAACCCTTATGGATGATTCTCTGCCACTTACACCTTAAATAGGAGAAAACCCAAGCACATGTTTTGATAATTCAACAGTGAGTGAATTGTAACTTCCTGGCTGCTGGTCATGAGTTAAAAAGGACACTTTCAGTAGGTTGAAATATCAACTTAGAAGAACTGTACAAGTGGACAAGTGGACGACTGGAGGGATAAGGAGATGGAGCGCAGTCACATTTAAGCTCTCAACAGGTGTGCATTTAGTACCACATCTTCTTCACCATCTTTGCCATGTGTAGAAATATCATCCACTCTAACTTCCTCATTAGACATTGCGTGAGCACAGACATAACAGAATTGAAGTTAAAAGGAGAGCTTGTAGTCACATTGGAACGGCGGATGATAAATGGTAAATATGAAGGTTGGTGCAACAAGTATAATTCAACACTAAGTAGTGGTGGCTCCTGGGGAGGAGCATTCACGAATGAGGTGCATATTACGGTCGTCGGTATATTGCGTCTAACATTATACGTCAGGCTGACCACACACAGACTAACTGTAATAATCGGTCAGAGATCGTTGACTGACAGCTACGAGAGCTTAAAGGACCATTTTTTGTGCCTTTACTACTCTACACGACAACAACACCAGGTTTGCGCACTTGACTCTGCCTACTAGAAGTGTTCAAGTAAGATAAACACTTTTTAAGTAAAAAAGGAGAATAAAAAGGCAGAGCTGGAAAAAGAAGAGGAAGGATTATAATTATTTTCGATATGGGTCTTCATCCCACGTATAGAATAATCTTAATCCACCAATCGACATAGGAAGACTCATCAATGTAACTAAACCATCTCACAGCAATAGACGATACTGACCAGACAGATCAAGCTGAACTCGCGGTGGTGTCAACTTGCCTCTTGCGTCAACTTCCGTAATTTGGCAGTATCCTTTCCCGTTACAGCGTTTATCTTCCCTATACACTGTTTCACCTCTTAAACAGTTTCGTCGCTTTGCAGGTTATGCTTCCATCATCCACTACACATGTGGTAAAGCAGCATTCTACACACTAATATGAATGCTTAGAGGAACGGTTGTTGAGGATGCGCACCGTCAACACAACCACCGAGAACGTCATTGCCACTGACAGGTATACAGATACAGACGAAGATACTGACACAGAAGTGCAGACGTACGTGCTACTACCTTTGACGCATTGACACTATTTAAATTACTGTATGCCGAGTGGGTCTCCGTCACTACCACCAGCCAACATGAGGGGATGGAAAACCACTGTACGATGAGACGTCCGTAAACGTATTCATATCTTCGTTCACAAAGGACCTCATTGTCATATGAAGTTTCCTACACACACAAACCTCCTGCCTCGACTACCAGAAGTAGCAAAAGAAACCTCCGCTTAAAGAAATTGTGTGGATAACCACCGCGGTAGCATGTCTCTTTATAGACAACGTCAAATGGGCCGTTTCGCCAACATTTGGACTACCCTCGGAAGGTTATTCCTATCTACCTTCGGTATTCACCATCTAATTCTACTTTGTTGCATTAGTTATACGGCAGTGGTATTGCTCACCTCCTTATTCATCCATCGGGAGGGGGCGGAGGAACAACTGATCACCCATACTCCTGTGTATCACAAACTTTGAGAATGATTAGGAGTGAGAAGTGGCAATTTGACTGCCACGCGTGGATGTATGGACATACGACTACAGGAATGAGCGCTGATTTGAAACGGGCAGTGACGTTGATCTTTCCAAACATGCAGTTTGCTCTGGAACGTGGCTTAGAAAAATGTGTTGAGGTACATACTCAGGTGGTGGCTAAGCATCCTAACCGAGTGGTCGGGTAAAAGGGTTTTGAAATAGAACTTTGAGAACAGGGAGAAGACACCGGGGAATACGAAAAGAACTTCTTTCTTACAACAGTTCCCTGAGCCCACGATAAGATGGCGAATGTAGTCATGATTTCCCTATCACTGGAGAGTGTATTTGACCTGTGTACTTCATGCAGAAACCACTCACCTCCCAATTTCACCATTCAGGTAGAGAGTAGTGGCCCACTTTCAACCAACTTTACCAGTTCCGGAAAAAGTCTAGACGGCATTACATGCGACAAAACAGTACCACACAACAGAAGGCCTGAAGAACTCTGCAAATGTTAACTACGGATTTGTACGAATGAGTTTGTGGGGTGATCGTTAAATACCAAAAATTCAAACAGATTTTCCTCCTACATACCCATTCATTAATTTGCATGGCGTAAAACTGGATTGTAGCGGCCGAGAAGATTGAAATGTGCTTGATGGTGTATGAATGCGGTAAGATTGTCATGCTCACGTTTGAGGTTTTAGGCACTCATTCAAGTGTAACAAGTTTGTTGGAGTGGTGGGAGCGTAAGTATTCATAAGAAATCATACTTCTTGGATAGATTTGCTTACGTTATTGTTGATCAAAGTGACGCAAATACCAAGACTGATAGCCTGATTTTGCGTTTTGAAAAAATTCTTCCGAGAATTATGCTTTTGACACAGCGGCTAGAAAAATCAACAGCTTTGAACCCTGAGACCCTGTCGTAAATGAGGGTGAAAGCACTTTTCTCAACCTGTCGTTCATTTAGGGTACGGCAGAGACGAATCAGTGGTGGAGGGAAGGTAAGAAAGAGTGCCTATGTAGTCTCGTTGACTTTCTCAATCTTTTTGCGCCATTGTGATGTTGAGGTTATCATCCGTGCGTCAGAGGTGTTTAAATTCTCACTTATTGTTCCTTTCAAAAGCCAGTCTAATGGGCGGAGTTTTGAGAAAAAGGTCTTAAAGAGGATCCAGAAGAAATTTACGAGCCATCTGCCAGTGCCTCACCACTCTTTATGTAGTCTACATCTTCTGATTTATTAAAATGATGCAGTTTTATCCAACGACCCTGTGGGATGTAAGACAAGGACCTCAAGCGGGGTAATCTCTTCCTTTCTTCATATTTCTAAAATACTACTAATGGCATTTAAGTCCGATTAAAATATTTAAGCGAAAGGAAACTATAAATTTCGTTAGGCTAAACTGGCTTGAAGATTTACACTACGGCTCAACCACCCAGTGTGCATTAACCTTTTAAAAATGTCGATGAGTGCAAGTGATTGGGTTTACCTCGTTCCCCGTACAGACGGGTTCATCTGTTGCACGGCGGATTTCTTGTCAATCAGGAGGTCAGGATCGGGCAAGCGCTCCACTACAGACTATGAATGAAACAATTATGATCAGAAGCATCACTGACAAAGAGAGAGAGAGGCGTATGCTTGCCTTGAAAAGGTTTCACTACCCAGTGATCGTACTGTGCTCTACTTTAAGGCCTCTGTACGAGTAGCTATCCAGAGGATTATAAGCCCTATTAAGATAAAATGACACTGCTCAGCATGCGCTGCTCCTTGCATGCACTACTGCTAAGGCTTGATGCCTCGACTACCACCGCCCTGTTCGGCCGTGTTAGTGTTTAAGAACGTGGAAGTATCGCATATTTTAGTTTACTGAATCCCCACAGAGGTACACTTTTCTCTGCCTGCAAAGGCGGAGCTCCAGCCCGACTTAAATTTTGATCACGTGACACATTTTTTGGCTTACTAGTGCCAGTAGCTGTCAAACTGCTCAATACGTATCATTTCAACAACAGATAAACAAAAGCAAATACCTCAAAAAACGATTATAGATGACACTTTGCTTCAAGCAGCAGCTACTTCGTCAGAGTAGCAGAGGGAAGGGGTTGTACTTAACTCTGTGTGATATGAACCAGTCTTTTTAGCCGAATGCTAACTCTTCCTTACAGCAAGGGGGGTCTTTGATTCAAAATCAGAGATTTTGATGTAGTTCCTCTGTCATGGTCTTTAGTTTCGAAGTATTGTCGTGTGTCCAGTGGCTTCCTTTTTCGAGTGGCTGCCTTAGGCACCACAGGAAAGGGTTTAGGGGTCTCAGTTTACTTTGCAATAGCTATAAATGCACAGCAGCTTATAAAGCTTTGTTCTGTTTTCCACATACTGAGCTGAGTTAATGTGAATTTGCTGTATCAGATAAAACACTCTGTTTGTTTCCGGCCACTATATTGTTTGGAGCAGATATTTCTAAGTAGATCTGTAAGGAATGGGCTCCCTCTCCCAGAAAACACGATTCTACCTACTGGATAGTTTTATTCAAAGCTTCATTTAAAGCATCTCTGCCATTAGAAATTCTGGAAAAAACGGGTTTTTTCCATTTTCCTCTCCTTTTTTTACCCTGTCCTTCGCCCCTTTTTGAGGGAAAATTCTACTCAACTATTCAGCCAGAACATCCAATCACCATTAAAGCATTCACAAGGTGGTTATAAGAGGTGCGTCCTTTCACTACTACTAGTTGTCGCTGGAAATACTGCGTCGAGTGTGGATTGGTCCAGTTGTACTTAGGCCGATCTGGTACGGTGAAGTGCTTTCTAACCCCTATTATTCACCCAGACAGGTTAGAATGGAGCTGCGTGTGTAGGAAACACCGTGTGGCAGTGAGGTCTCCTGTGGCCGAAGGCGTCAATGCCTACACGAACGGCTTATCTAGGAGAGATATGTAAGTCCTTTGTGTAAGCCGCCAGTGGAGATACTGAGTGAATCCGCATTGAGACATAAATGATGTCAATGCGGCAGAGGCGGTGGAGCGCATACCTACATATCTGAGCTTTCGTATCGGTACCTGTGTCTGTATCTGTATGCCCACCAGTGACGATGATGGTCGCAAAGATTGTGTTACCGGTCTACGTCCTTGGCAATCGTTCATGTGAACGCTTTATCGCGTGTGTGATGGGCAACAGACCTATAACCTGTAGTGTGGCAAAAATGCATAAGGGATGAATCAGTGTGTGGGAATGATAGACAATATCACGGGGTAAAGACATTGATGGATTAGTGAAAATGACGCATAAGTTAGGTTGGTGTTACCAGAAGGCATCTTGGCAAGTATCGTTAAAACAATCAATTGTTGTGAGATAACTCAGGCACGTCGGCATGTCTTTCCATATGAATAGATGGGCTGAGATCATTGTACAAACGTGGTAGACACTTTTCTCCACATCCTCCTCTGCTAGTATATTTCTCTTCTGCCTTTTCTCTCCCTTTTTGCATATTTAAGAATGTTTGCTTTACTTGAACACCTCTTGATGATGGAATCGAGTGGAATTTTTTGGTGCCATCATTATGTGCAGCAGTGGAAGCAAGCGACTTTTCGACTCTACTCACTAATTTTACAAATTACAACAGACGGTCTGTATGTTGACACCGGGACTAATAAGCAAGGGGAAGCAACAATCTTGAAACCGTAACATACAACTAATTCAAAAATGCTTCACTACAGGAGTCATCACTCCTCTAAATTATACTGTATCCACTACAGCAATCTTCAACTCCACCTATCATTAGCCACTGTTTCAGCGGGAATGCAGTCTTTTGACCTGGCTTCTTTTATGTCTGTGTCCATGCGACGACTAACGAGGCACGTGGGGTGATCTACACTTCTACATTTGGTGATGATGCCTAGGCTATTGTAGCACCATTTATACACCCGTTGAGTGTAAGGCATCCAGTCATTCCTTCTCGCAGTCCAGCCAGCTTGACATTTCCATTCACAGAAGGTGTCCTTCTTTTGCTCATGACCAGCAGCCAAGAAGTCACAAATCATGTACTGTGAAATTTCCAAATGTGCGCCTGGAAATTATCTTTTTAGAGATATAAAGGTAATGGAAATAACTGCAAAGCATTTAACTATTTGCGTTTTCATAAATTAATTTTGGTTCTTCTTTATTGATGATTGATGGCTGACTTCCACAGTGAAGAAAGGCTGATAACCGACTAACTAATTAAATATCGCTTGCTAGTAGATTAAAAGAGTTTCTGACATACACATTTTTTACAAATACGAGTGCTGTAAAAGCTCTAATGCAGAGGGGGCTGTCAAAGTTGTCAAAGATATCACTGAAAAGGATGATGCCAAAGTAGAATGAGAGGGAGGAAGAGGAGGAGAGGGTGAGACACAAAGCGGCATCTATCAGAATTGAGGGTTGATGGGGGGAAATTGTGATTATATTGAGAGCTATGGCTAGACTCTGTTTCCTCTCGTGCAGCCTGTTTAGTCTAGACGCAAACAGCAAAAAATATTTTGTCATTGTGTCGGCCTCTGTCTAGCAACCCGCTGAATGTGATGTCACCTGGGGATTACATTTTGTTTGCTAAGTTGTTGGGTAGGTCAACACTACAATCGGGTCTGTCATATTTCAAAAGCTAACACGCGGATTTGACTGTCCCCAGTAAGACAATATAATAGTTGGTGGAAAATCATAGTTATAACAATCCCATATTCTTTAACAACTGGCCATTGGAAAAGCAAACAAAATTTTTAATCTTCAGCATCGACCTATTCCTCAACGGGGAACCACTTCGCTCAAACATTTGCTCTGGATATTCCTATCCTCAACTTGATCTAATTCACTTAATACCTCTCCGGCATCTACCCGGAGTTGTACTTGGAAAAATGGGGAAGGGTTCCCTTCAGATGTCTTCCCACCATATGATTCCGTTAATGTTGATACATATATCCAGTACGGAACCGTAAATTTGTTACTCTCTTTCTGTCTCTCCATTAACTTATCCATCATTGACTAAGTCACCTATCTAGCTATTTATGCAACCGATATTCGAGTACTGCCATTATTCTACGTCCGTATGCGCATCCGCCTGCCTATTTAGAATCATCTACCAACTTTTAAAAGTTAGTGTAAGGTGACTAAATTAAATTACACAGACACTAATATGCAGCACGGCTTATCTACCAGTCCGAGTTCATTTCTATTCCTCTCTAGGCCTGTTCGTATCTCTGCCTATTCCTCATCTTAAAATAAATTTGCCACCTCTCTATGATCTATATATCAGTCTTTCTCTCTATCTGTCCAAACTGGCAATTGCGATAATATCAATTCTCGGAGGCAAACGACGTCCACTCTTCTACGAGATTCGTAGACCTGTATCACAGTTAACACAATCGCGACTGATATTTAGCCATCGTGTCAATCACAAAGTGCCTGGTCCATGATAGGCCCTTATTATGGTAGTGCGAAATTCCGTGAAACTGGTTAGGTCATATCATATCCACATATCCATGGCTACTCTGAATGCAAACACTTAATCTCAACTATGCAGTTTACGCCTCCTTTTAAAACAAAGCAAGTCGACTGCTCTAAAACGTCATTTTATTTGCTCCTACAGGGGCCTTCCATTAATTGATGAAAGTGGAATTGTTAAAATGCAGTTGCAGCTATCTGCATGTTGGTCGTAGAGCACTTTTGCAAATTCCAGTGCTTTGAGGAGAATAAATACACACATTTGTAAGTGATTGCAATTTGTAATGATGCTGGATTTCAGTGTTCTGGTTGACGCAGCACAAGTCGACGGCCACGAAGGATGATTCTTCCTTACTAACCATTATGGACTGAATGAAGATAAAACTTTGTCACTTTATAGCGGAGTATATTTTAGTGGCTTGATTTTATCAAAATAAACTCGAGCAGTCAGTGTAGGAGTAACGGCCACTTGAGGAGTGATATTGAAAGGAAGGTGTGGAAATGCATAAAATGCGGGCAAAATGGATGAGAAAAACAGATGCAACAAACATCGTACTCCTAAGTGCGTTTCGTCTGCAGGTTGTTTTGGAGCGCAGACCATTAAAGGTCTCGGTTGATTAGATGAGAGAAGAGGAGATGACTTGCACCCGGACGTCTAAGTGAATGGGTTTGCCTCCGAGCCAATACTCCAGGCGGTATTGTCATCCCACAGACGGAGATTCATAAGCTCTAAATGCTGGGCCCATTAATGTCTCCAATTTGGCTTACAAATGCCTGGTTATTGCTTCTGCTGGTAAATAAATTTAGTTTAATCACTGTTTTTAATGTTCTAATCAGCTCACAATAAAGTCAAGCATGCCCTACTGTAGGTGTGCATAATTTCAAATGTTAGTGGGTTGGTGACAGAGCACCAAATCTGGAACATGAGTAGGGTTGTTGGTGCCAAGGCATCCCCTCTCAGCGGCGCAGTCTGTTTCGTTTTGTAGGAATATCAAGAATCCCTCCATTTATTGCGTACTCCCATTAATGCCCCAATAAATAAAGCTAAAATACTCAACTGCGAAGCCTTGGCAAATTATGGCCAACAAACGCAGAAAATTGTTCAAATTTGGCATTCTAATTGCTATGGTCTCTTATAAGCATTAATATAGGGCGTGATAGATTTGCTAATTTTTGCCGTCTAATATCTTGTGGTACTCTGCTACTCTTAAGCACTAATTCATGTCCCTGGACACCCCCATCGAGGTCGTTGCAAAACAGCCACAATACCTAGCATCTACACAAAATTCCAATGGATTGAAAGTCATTCTTTGTAACCATTAATTTTGTGGGAATTTTAAATAACGTGGCACGATACTTCACCGATTGTTGTCGTACTTTACCGCAATTAACGGGTTCGTATAGTGTGTAGGAGCACTTTTACAAGCGGATTTGGCATTTGTCATCAGGCGCAATCTTAGATACACTGACTAAACAACGCGGCTGCAAATACACACAGTTCGAGTTCAATTAATCCTAGCAATTCGTTCAATGGCCAGCCCGCAAGACAAAGGCTCATCACATGACACTAACCTAGGTTCCAACTTTTGTTTAGACGCCTATTTTGACCGCTACAGATTATGAAATTAGGATAGTCTTACTCGAAAAATTCCACCAGGGTGCATAGTGATTAGCAAGAGAATGAAGCAACACACTGTGAATAGCTTTGCGCAGATCAAGGAAAAAAAGTAGAAGGAATCCAGTTCATCTGATTGGACTGATTGAAGGCAGGATCGTGTGACAAGGTTCTGCCGTAAAAGACGGAAATTATTGGAGAAATAAGAGGGCGGATTGCAAAAGCATTGAATTTGGAAAAAAAATGTTTAGATATTCACCCTACTTTATGATGTTCTTCCTTGTTGTAAGTGCAACCTTTGCAGAGTCTTCGTCAATTGTTCATTTGACCTCAGAATGTTTACTTATAAATTAACCATTGGATAATGAAGATGACCTCGACTATAACGGTGCCACTTCTTTGGGTCTCCTACAGTCCCTTTCCCTTATAAGGCTATAAATGCGGAAAAAAACGCTTAGCATCTACGGCGGAACTGCTTGAGATATTTAAACACAAGAATGAATGGAATTTGTGGTCACGAAGTACCAAATATAGCGAATGAAGAATGAAGGAAAGATAAAATGAAATAAGGAAGAGTTGGATGCAAAGTCACAGTCAGCAGAGCATTACAGAAATAGAGTTGGGTATCAACAAATTTTACTGACTAGCGTTTCCCACTGCAGTGATTTTGGTGCTTGTGAGATTTTTTTGAGACCTTGTATGCAGTATGATGGAGCCACACAGAAGCAGTGAAATAGAATACTGTCAACACAAAAGTTAGCAATAAAGTAAGGCGCTGAAATTGATTGTTCAGAAGCCTTTGCTTGGTTTGTGGGCTAAATAAATTAGCAGATAATTTCACACATTTGGAGTAGATTGATGCAATGGAGTCTTAATTAATCCTTTGAGTTGTATGCTGGAAAGACTGAAGATAGTGTGGTTGGCATGATCAAAAACAATAACAACTGGGTAAGGAAACGACCCTTAAAAGTGTCGTTATATTTAAGAAGCCATTCGGCTAAAGATTGATTTTGCTTTACAGATAGAATTGAAACTGATTACAGTCAAGTTGCTGATGAAGGCTATAAAATGATTTATGATGCATGGTCGACGTGGAAGACCTAAGATTTCGTGCCAGCAAATCTGTCATATGCCATAATTGACTTATAACAGCGTCAAGAAGAGGAATGACAAATGAAAGAAAGTGTCAGATGTAGTCAGATAGCCGTGCCTGTATTTGCCGTTTTCATTTAGAGGCTGTCTCTGCTTTTGAACATATAGTACCTCTCGTCTACCTAGTATATCGCAGATGCAGATCGCCACAGTCACTACTTTTTTCCTCCGTCTATTGTAACATTAAAGACGGACCGCATTGTCACATCGGCTTTTGATTAGATCAGATTGCAAAATGTGATGTAGGAAAGTAGAGCATTTAAACACGTATCATTTTAGCCCCCCTATGCCGAGAACGAGGCGGAACAGGGAAATCGGCCCACTAAGCTAGACCCTCTAGTTTCATGATCTTTTGGGTCCTCAAACTCACGTACCAATAAAGTTCGCAAGGGTTGTCTCGGCATTACGTTTTCAGTAAAATTGGGTAAGGTAATTGCTCAAAGCACACAAGAGCATAAGGGCTGTGAGATAATCAGGAAAGTGGTTAAAATTGCGAACCATCGAATGGACGAAGTCAAATGGACGGTATTATTATAAATGTAGCCTGATTTGCATCATCTTACGCTCATTTGGTTAGGAGGTAATTTATTTTATTGGGTAAGCAGTATAAATAAATTCAATAAGCCCGCTGTACGTTCTCCGAAACTAGCGAAGCACAATACATGCAAAAATACAAAGTACTTCTAGTGCATCTAAGAGGCCGCGAATGTGATTGAAATTATTATTGCGCATAAGAGGATTAAGTGAAAAAATTCGGATGGACGTCCAAAGACCGCTAAAAGGGTCATAAAACCTATAAGCAATGGCAATGCAGATGTCTAAGCACTGATGATAACTGCCAATAAACCTAAGTGCGCCTGATATTTGTCTGACAATTTATTGTAATACAAAGAATTCAGAAACCTTTATGTAATATGTTCTTCGTTGCCTACTCCATAGATTCATTCAGTTAGATTGGTGGGGATTATAAAGTGGTGTCCATAATGCTGTATAATTAATGAATCCTGATTATGGTCCTAATAGACGATGACAATCCATGCTGCAAGAAGATTCAACTGGATAGATGACCCCAACAAAATATCAAAGAACAAAATAGAGGGATGACATCAGGAAGTATCTGGGCATTAATAATAATACTCCTATACCTAAATGGGCAGTTTACGTTTGAGATACCTAAAAATGGAGTCCATTTTGCATGACAAATTCACTTGTTACGTAAAGCAATACTCAAGATAGCCATTCGCTTGGATCTAGTTTGCTTTTACCTAATTGCAGCTTAGAAGGTCAGGCCAATTTCTTACTTTAAATTGCAAAACTGTTAAATGGTGAAGGCTTAAATTTGAGACAAGTGAAACACAAAACCTCCCTTTGTTGAGAACTGATGAGCGGCTTTTATTTGTAGATGATGGTTAGCATTCAGCTAAACGGGGCATTGATAGCATCATCTGTTAGTTAGTTGCAGCAGACTGAAAGACTTCCAACCACATTTTCGCGAAGGAGATCAAAACACACAAGTTCTTCTCTATCTCGAAATTGGGCCGAAAATACCGTAAGAACTCTTTACCATGGAATTCATAAGCCCTACGGTATGTTTTTAGATTAACTTCCGTTATAGCTTCTAAATGTGCAAATGTTTGCTTGTATGGCATAGGTTGCCTTCTTTCATCTCGCAAACATATTTTCTAACTGCGTGAAATTAAACGAGCTAAGCCACACCATGATGTAGATCGCAAAGAATAGAGTACATGGCTGATCAGGCGTTTGAGCTATTATGAACCCCTTGCGTTGATGAAACTACTACCTCTCTATTTCATCACATTTCTCCCCAATTTACCATTCCACACCTGTTGATCATCTAGCTGCATCCAGCTTTTACATTTGGTGCGAATGCGATGAGAAATATAAGTAAAGGGCGAACAAACTTTTCGTGCGCCAGATGCTTGTATTTGCTCAAAGAAAGTGGGCTATTCGATGACAACCGTTGATTGCGAAGTAGGAAGTTCTGCAGAGGAGCTCGGACTGACACCCTCCCACCCACTTAAATTCGGTTCATTCTCGATGATGGAAGTAGAATACTCAGCACGGCAATATGATTTAAAACTCCACAATTTAATGAAATTGTGTATTCCCTTGTTAGAGCTTTTATTGCTAAGACAGCTTCAGCTTTTATTGCATTTAGCTATTAGAAACTGAAGGCGGCAACTTGCCTACGTAAGTTGTGCACCTACCTGCTAGTAATGCTCATCTCAAATGATGAAAACGGGACATTTCAATTGATGAGGTTAGCGTAGACAAAGGCAATAATGAATAATTCCTTACCGAAATGTGCATATAGCACGATATAATAGTGGGCCGAAAAGAGATTAAGATACTTTTAGATACCTCAAATCACTGCCAAAGAGAAGGCATGGCCAGGTCATCATTAAGCTGACGCCATATTAAACAGAATATAAGGTAATTCAAGGACGAGGCAAAGATCAGTGAAATTGTCAATCGTCAGCAGAAAACTTCAATGACTGTCAGATTGACTAATTGGCCAACTTAACGTAATAAGAGTGACGTGCAAACGAATTCGGCAGAAACAGTAAACATGTGTATGAACTTGAAGTTGAAATTGAATGATGACGCTCGGCTGGATTAGACACGCTGGCTTACATTCCTCACTATTTTGCCGCCATTGTCCGATTCAATATTTGACTTGTTTACAGAGACTGGAGCCAAATTAACTTACCTTGTTGATCAAAACAAATCGGCAAGGTGTTTAACGTCTGTGCATTGGAATAATTAGAATGTGTAGTGGTAAGGGAGCTAAAATGATGGCAAGTTTGGAGGGGTGATGGAGTACGAGATGAAAATGAAGTGCGAAAGCTAGGAAGGGAATGAAGCAGAAAATCAGGAGGAAGGTAGAAGGAAGTTAATGTGGCATCCAGTGATATTTACAATGTAGACCTATAGGCTGCAGAAGTAACCGAGGTCTTAGTAAGGTTGTAATGGACTTATTTTCCCAGATTTTATGGTAAGGAAGTTTTGTACGTAATTGCTCTTAAAAAAGAAAATCAGGAATTAATGATTTAGGCTTAAGCTTTATTATGTCCCTTTTTTTGTCGTTTTACACTAACTGGTGTAATCCTTGTATTCGGCAGAGATCAAACAGACTTCGTTTAAAATTTCGGGAAAGTGGCAACTTGATTTTAGGCGACCCCTTAACCGGGACATCATATTACTACCTACATTGTTGTAAAAATTATTAGCAATTACGAACTATCTTAGTTTTGATTTTCTTTGTTGTGTTAAGTAAAGCAGAAGAATTATTTGCAAATGAGATTCACCCAAAAGCAATGGCTTCTGGAGTGAGATGAAGTAGAGGTAATTTGGCATTGTGCAATTGTGCTGCAGAAAATTCCTTGTATTTCCATGTACCGTGAATGGGAATTTACTCACTGGAATTTTTTATTCTGCCCTTTATGTCCATTATTCTTATTTACATGGTGCAAATTTTTAATGCTACTTGTGCGCTTCTTTCCACAACTCCCATTTTACATAAGTATTTTTAATTTTTTGATATTTTGGGAAAAAACACGCTTAATCGTAATTTGAAAAGGAGTTTAACACCGGCTACTGGATTGAATAATAAAGGCGCATCTTATGGATAAACTGGTATAAAATAAAAGGTCAGCTTTTCCCATTCATTGACAGGAGACTTTACACTTATATCCTGTACTTGTGGTATACACAAAATTTTGCTTGTTGGTCAAAGCTTTAACAGTTTGCCTAATTAAATATATCCACTTTGGTGTTTTAGAATCCATCAAAGAATTGCGGGATAGTTTTAGTGGGTGTGATGTTTTCCAACCTGTTCACAAAATAATTCTGAGGTATGTTTGAGTCATTGCTTCTGAATGGTAGCTGGGTAGACATTATGTGAACGCCTACATAATATTTGTACAAATTATTGTTGAATTTTTATGAGAAAAATAAGGCACTGACTAGTTTACAAGATTAGTTAAAGTAGTCAACTTGTAACAAGGAGGTGTGAAAAAATATACACGTATTCAGGTAGATCCTATAAAACAATTAGTAAAGAGTTGTGATATTATTTTTCTTTATTGTTCACATCCGAATCACTGACAGCTTTCATCGCGTGGGCTATTCCATTCAACGAAGAGGGCTTATTATTCAGTTGCATGGTTTTTGCATTACCATTATAAAACTTTTCATTTTAATGAGCTGAAATATTTGTATTAGAAGAGTAGCTGGCAGTTAAAAAAATGGATTATCATGTGCAATTCAAAATGCACATAACGTGACCATAAATGCGGTACTGGTCGGTTATGTATATATTTAAAGCAGCCGGCTTGTGCCACTAAAAGTGTGGAAAAATAACCATAGAAATGCTAAGAAATGGGCATTACAAATCGCGGATAAATCCTTAGACATATTAAAACACACTGACTTTACTTTTAAAAATAAGTCCTTGTGTGTTTGGAATCACTTGCAACAAATTAAAAGCATTCCTTTTATGGACTCTTGTTATAGGTAGCAATACACGTACTCTTAGGAAAAAACCATACGTACCTTCCATTATCTTCACAGTAATTCCACCAGTTATTAAGAAAATATAATCTTGGAGACGGCTGTTAATCAATGAATACGCAAAAGCAATGCTTAGCTGGTCCAAAATAGGCTACAAATTTGTATTTTCCTCTTTAAGAGATTAGGTAATAGGTGTGTTTACGTGTATAATAAATCTTAAAACCGATAGTGAAGGAGTTAGTTTGAAATAATTTTGTTAATCATTTTAGTAGGGATGTATATTACGAAAGCAGTGCCCAGAAACGAAGATAATACGCATTTGTTTGGATGTTAAGACTACATCACTTTTGCCTTGGTTGCATTGCAATGAGACACATGAGACAAACTTTAGGCCTGCAAAGAATGTAGCAGCTTTTCACGCCTGCAAATGCGTGCTGTGAGATGTCATCGCTGTCAAAATTTGAGGCACGACATTGAAATTCTTAAATCATCAACGACTTTAAAATTCCAATGTTTCCTTTACCAGTCTTTAAGGATTAATAAGCGGTTTCCAATGATAGTCTTCCTGTATTGCAATTGTAGGTTTTTCCCGAACGCAATGTACCTCTGATGGATGAATCACCTTCCGAGATCATATGAACATAAAATATGCTACTTTTGTTTGCATTTTCGAATGTCTACATCTCCAAATCATAATAGTGTTCCAGGACCTAATTTTCGTTCATTAGAAAGCATTTTAACATCTAGGCGGATGATGTCAATTGATTCCAATGCTTGAGAAATCAAAATCGAGAAGACCTTAAGTAATTACTAGATTTTACCGTAACACATGCCCCTGTTAAAACAATCTCCCGAGCTAACTACCCATTTGCTGTATTGTTCCGGCTGCACTTAATTTAACTCTGTCGTATCTTGCTTTATGCACCTCTCAGAGAAGCGTGTGAATAGGCGACACAGACCTGTATTAGAATCCATCACATTATGTCTTTTTTTGAGAACAATCTTGGACATACTGCTTCAACAAATTAATCGTAGAGATCGAGATTCACAATCTCAGTGAGAATATGGCAGCCAGTGATTGGACCTAAACGATTCCGAAAATTGGGCAAATTGGGATTAAAAATAGCATATTCAGGTCTCTCCCGTTACTATCACCTAAAAGCATCCTCTGAATTGTGCTTTAAAATGGACCTTACCAGCCTCACTTTGAGTGCTTCAGTGTTTTAAGAATAAAACAGAAATGAACGTTTGGAAGCGCCATTGTTTTCATCATTTCTATAAAAATGGCTTTCTTTGTACGTTGTAAGCTCAAGTAAATTACCTTCACAAAAAGACTAGCATCCGGGTTAGATGAGAGCCATTCTAAATCTGACTTTGACCACTTAATCAATGCAAAGGCTATGTACTGTGAGCTGAGAATGCACTGTGGGCCCTGCGATAAATGATTTCATTAGCGAAAAGCCTTTGTTTTTACCAAATTTCGAGAGATTAAACAGAATGTTAACAGACAGATCATGAATGCTTTAGTGTTCTAGCAAATCCTAAAGTTTAATTCGGTTCCGAGTCTATCGCATATTTTATGCGCAAGGCTTTTTAATATTATCTAGATAGGGTTTGGAATGTGGTGGTGGAACGCATTGCCTAAAAAATTGTTCCGACATTTTACACTGAGCGCCCGATATTACTAAGATGCACACATTTTGGAAGAAATGTTCCTTCCAAATTTAGAGACATGAGTAGTTGTCAATCAAATTACTTAAAAATTAATGAAATCGAAGCTAGTTTCCCAAAGTATTATATCGGGCAACCAAAAAACAGGTTACAGTTTAACTTACAACTCGTTTCCACAGGATACTTTTCCAAGACGTGTTATTCGCTTTATCCTAGGAGGCTTATTCATACTTGAAGTGCTTTTTTGTGGTTCACCACTTTTAGGCAAGCCTATCTCCTTGATGCAGTACAATTTTAGGAAGAGTATGTTGGGTAAAGTGGGACAGCAAAACAAATACATGGACAAATGTAGGCTACCAAAAAAGGGTTTTAAGGTAAGGTTCACTAAACAGCGAAGGACTCCTCATTTCTGCACATTTAAAACATTATTACTGACACAAACGTGTTGCAACAAACTGATGATATTGAATGCTGGTTATTTGGTTCTAGAAGGCACCCGTGGTAAATAGACTGGCCTTAGCAATTCAAGGTATTATTTCTATTTAAATAGCAACTTTAAAGCACACAGAAAACCGTCTTAAATCGTAGCTTTAAGAAGTGTGTACACTTTTCCAATTTCAAAAAGCCTACATTCACTTTTTTTATTTTATACTTGTAGCTCCTCCAGAGCTGTCAAAATTTACATGTACATATGGATTTATTAGTTCTAAATGCGCCAGATAACCTTTGTCAAAACTTAGCCTTCAGATAAGTTATGAGTCCCAATTACCCAGGTGTCGGAGTTCCGCTGCGCCTGTGCTAATGTCAATGCTAGTAGAGATAGACGCAGTTGCTTTGCTTTGTTTATAAATATTAATGGTGCGCCAGTGTCCCTACATGCTTCCTCAATTCATTACTACCAAAACGGAAATATTCTTCTCGAATCACCTAATCAGTGTGTCAAAGACAGCTTGCAATAAGCCGACAGGAGTTGATGAATTTGCATCTACAAATAATTTAACGCACACCCTTAAAGCTAAATGAATGATGACTTTGTAACATCATCACATCATGCAATGGCAAAAATTTATAGCCTGATTATGATTGACTGTGATAATAATTGATAAGTTAATGTTAAGTACACAAATTAGTGCAGAGATTATACCATAACAAAACAGTTCAGATTAGCATATTTACCAGAGCAAACAATTAAAAATGAGCAACAACTATAAGTTATTTTTACTTAACAATGAGACAACTGTTGCTTTTATATTAATGAAATAGTTTTTTACTAAATTTAAAGGGGTTTAATGGTTAAAAATGAGAATATACGAAAACGCTAGAATAAAGCAGAACAGAATTCTCAGACATCTTAGTCTTAGATGGCGGTAACGCTTGAAAATCCACTGTTCCACCCCTACCCGCCTATTGCTAAAGTCTTTAAAGAGGTCAGTTAATCCTAAGATGGGATAGGTTAGAAACATCTCCAAGACAGTACTGCATTTACTGCATTTCGACTTTAGGCGGTTAATTTTTATTCGAATTTACCAATGACGTAGCACTACCACATTCAACAATTTTTAAAAATTAGAACCCTGGAGATAGTACTAGAATTCATGGCTAAGATTCGATGAACTTGATTTGTTTCGTATTATTATAGTTTATTCATTTACATTTAAATTTGACTAATGCATCATAAAATAACAAATAGTAGCAATCTAAATGACCGATTTTGGTAGTGTACACTAAGTGATGAGGTTTGACTTCACACAAACATAAGGCTTTTGGAAATCTAGTCAACACCTTAACTTCTTCTTTTTACATGACCATTTTGCAGCACAGATGTCAGCTATACAAGTGTAAATAAACGCAGAATTAAGAACAAAGGAAAGGAAAGATAATGATTCATTTGAATTACGTTAACTTGGAAAGTGAAAAACGACTGTTAAGGAATATCCATAATTTGCACTGTTTTGTCATAATTATAAATTATGCTTTCAGTCTATGTGGTAGCATCAATTACTACTCATAGGTAAGATGAATGTCATAAGCATTATGAACGGGCTATTGAATTCAAACGTAGTAATAAATAGTCAAAGTATATATACATAGAGTTGTATAACCTTGTAAAACAGGGCAAAATCCAACTAGCTTTGGAATGCTTCAAATATATCCGGAACTCATGAATTTGAAGACTCTATCATTCTTACTTTAAAAACCTTCGAAGAGAAAAAACACAATTCCCAGAAGAATTCTACCGTAGCTGTAAAAGACTTGGATTTCCCACTCACTAGTTTGAGAACATTCGAAGGATGCAATCTTAACTATGAAAAACTGTTGTGTAATGCACTAGTTCTTGTAGTAAATCCTCCATAAAAGATCTGCAGACCTGAGGCCTTGTTTTCTCCCAGTTTAACTAGAAAGATCAAATGTCAGCTGGAGGTTGGCAAATGCATTTCAAGCTAGAATGGGGCAAAAGTTTTAGAATTTGCAAAAAGCACCAAGTGAGGAAATTCGTTTTAAAAAGCCTTGAAGTCATTGGACTCACCGCAATCACTGCTCCTATTCTGGGTACGATTAAGTCCCCCTCAGTAGCATTGAAGTGTCCCGTTTATACGAATTGAGGCCCGTTTCCATTAAGGCGCGCAATATGATTTATAAATTAATGCCAATACGGGCATGGATAGCAAAGACTTAACCTATGATGAGACTGTCTAAAATCAAGCTGACTTACCCATGACTTGCTATTTGCTTTCTTAGCTGCAAAAATAATGCTGTAGGACTGCTGGCCGTTGACGAATCGTGAGAGCAGAAACGACGTCTGCGGATCACCTGCGTCACTCGCCGAAAAAAAATAAGAAAAACATAATGATGCTACCAAGGAAAACACCCGATTTAGTAGAATACCGGTGATGTGGGACTAATATTTACCTTAGTGATTTAACCCATGAGAAGTTTGCATTTCATTTGGAAATGATCCAGATAAGTGCATTTTGATGAAAATGTGAAGCAATAATTGGGACCAGTAGGCAAGGGTTGCAATATGGGCAGCTCATCTTTAGTCCTCAATCGCAAAATTTTGACATAATGCAAGAAGATCAAATTTGGCGCTTGTTTAGTGGTTGGAATGTTACTGAATGGCACAGAAAACGTTGCTGATACAGGGTACAAAAATCTACCACCTCCATTTTGTATTAGTTAGAAGAATTTCGTCCATCTGTGGACTCAAATGCTAATTTGGCACTTTTTAAAGTATATATATAAACACGAAAAATAATTAAGGAACATTGGTTACAATAGATTGTACATAGTTTTAGTTAGAGTTATTTACAACTGCTCTGTCAACTAGTTTGTTCCCAAATTATGCATGAATTGCCATTTCGTCCCTTCGTCAAGGTGAATGGAGCCATTTGTTCAATGTTTAAAAGTTCCTTTCATGCAAAGGTTTTAATACCACTAGGAGGGCGCAGTTTAGTTTAAATTTGCTTGAAAATTGAATAAGACATATTTTGAACATTCTTGTGGAAATGGGACTTTAATTACCTGTAGTTAATTTGTATGATACATTTCAGCAAGGAATTTTTTTGCTTTGAAGTATCAATTTAATTTCAAGTCGCTAAAATAGAATTTAGAAGGCTTAAAAAACGGGTATTTATCATAATTTTTAACCGCTATTACATGGTCTTCTCTAGTTCACGTCATACATCATGCACTCGCTATCTTGTAATGATACCTGAGCTACACTTTGTTTGTCATTGATATATGTTTCCTACAGGCATTTCATGAGATGATCACGATAGGAATAAATATGGCAAAATGTAAGCCTTGACTTTTAAACACTATGTAATAGGCACAATTTCTTGCTGACGATGACTCACTTGGCAGTCGTACAACCTGAGACACCAACAGCCTTAATCTTGGCTCGCTTCGAAAAAGTTATTTCTCAAATTTCTTCTACCTAACAAGGCACTTACTAAAAGGAAGGTAGGGGAACTATGTGAAGAAACGTTGAGCAAAAGCAAAGTTTTAAGGTAAAGTAAAAACCAAATTTATTTAACATGATACATCAAAACCAACCCCAAAATATGCTTGGATCGTGGTCCAGGGATAGCGAAAGGAATGAGGGTTAATGTTGATATCTAAAGAGGCGCAAGTGTTGTCCCACCTTCAGCACTTTTAGGCTTTTCCAAATGACCTCCACAAACTGGTTTTCTCAGCAATTACAGTATAAGATTTAAGTAGAAACTCATCGTGAACGCTGCAAGCTAGGATTATATGCAGAATGATAAAGAAAAAGACTCCTCAAGTTGTATTGTTAGTCGCCTCCAGGAAATTATTTTATAAGCACATTTTCTATGCTA